TGCCGAAAATCAACTGAACGTATATGTACAGACCTATTTCTGGACTCCCTTTTTATTAAAGTTTTAATTTGGAAATAATTTCAAATATATAGAAAATTTGCAAGAATAATTCAAATAACATCCATATGCCTTTTAATTCTTTTATTGTGAAGATACTGTTCCATTTGCACTCTCTCCCTATATATGTTTCCTTTTATAACTATATATGTATATATAAATATCTTTTTCTGAACCATTTGAAATTAAGTGGATTAAACACATTACAGTACTTTGCCCCTAAATACTTCATTATCTAGTCCTAAGAATAAGGATGTTATCTCACACAACCACTGAAAAGAGACCCTAGGAATACCTGCTGTTTTCTGCAATTGCTACCTCTGTGATAATGTATTGTTTTCTTTTTTGCCTTTTCAGTTACCTCGTTTAAAACTTTACACCTAGTATCACTCTTGGCATTAAATTTTGTTAAAAATTTAAATTTATTAAAAAAATTATTTCACTATAGAAATGAAAAAAGAGTATAACTTTCTATAAATGGAAAGTTATAACAGAATGAAAAACTTTAAAAAGTTCCTAAATTCATGCTAGACACTGTCATCTGATGGATCAGCTGAGCTTCTTCCCCTTTGTTGTAACAGGAAATCAGCCAAGCGCTAGCAATGCACACCCACACTGACCTGCGACATAATGTGTTTGCATATAATTAGGGTTATACATATGAATCTTTGGGGAATACTTATAGCAGAAACATCTGTAGACAGTTAAAAACTGTTAGATGAATAAATACTCTCAATATATTCTGAATAATGTAAAACATGTAAACCTTCCTTCTCACAACTTTGCTGCTTTGAAAATATTCTCCAAGGGCACAGTGTCTGCAGATGCTCTTAGCAGTACTGATTGTAATAGTGAAAACTTGGGGACAGCATAATGTTTTTCAATAGAAAAACAGATAAATGAACTACGCAAAATTTATAATATGGCACTCCGTGTTTGGTTAGAAAGCATGAGATAGATCTGTGTGTACAGGGAAGGGTACCAATAATATATTATTCAGTGAAAAAAGATAATCTCAGCAAAAAATAAATAAAGATGCCACTGCTCTAAGAGAAAAAACGTGTTTGTGTACATGTTTCATCATGCATGCAGCAAGACTGAGTGGATATGACCAAATCTTCAAGAGTAGTTACTTCTGCAGAGTTCAATGGAGGTGAAATTTCACTTAAAAGTTTGAACATCTCTTTACTAGTTGAAACTCTTTTTGATAAATGTGCTACTTTTACAATTTAAAAAATTAAATGAGCATTATTCAAAACAATTAAAACATCCATCTAACAAAGAGTTCATACAATGATCTACAGAAAGCACCAGTTTATACATGCTGTCTTTTATTTATTCTCAAAAATTTCCCACTTATTTGCCTTAAATGAAGCTGTCGAGATAACATTTCAGTTGATTTGGATGTGTGCATTGAAATCAGTCTCCTTAAAAGGATGCCATTCTGCTGCGCAAACATAGCAGCACAAACATAAATCGTCAAGTAAAAACACTGCCTAGGAGGAAGAACCCATAATTCTAGAAAATGAAGTGAAAGCTGTCCTGAAAGCACTGGGAAGAAATAAGTTGCCAGGGGTAGATGGGAAATCGATAGATTTATTTCAAGCCACAGAGACTGAACCTGTCAAAATCCTAGCAAGAATATGTCAACAAGTATGGAAAACAAAACAATGACCTGTGGACTAGAAACACTCAATATATGTCCCAATCCTCAAGACAGGAGATGCCAAGGAGAGCAGTGACTACAGGACCATTGCTCTAATTTCTGGCGTAAGTAAAGTGATGCTCAAGGTGCTGCAACAAAGGCTTTTTTCTTTTTTTGGGTATGCTTTTTGGTGAGGAAGAGTGGCCCTGAGCTAACACCTCTTGCCAACCTTCCTCTTTTTTTCTTTTTTTTTCCTCCCGAAAGCCCCAGTATATGGTTGTATATCCTGGTTCTAAGTCCTTCTAGTTCTTCTATGTGGGATGCCTCCACAGCATGACTTGATGAGCAGTGTGTAGGTCCACGCCCAGGATCCGAACCAGCAAACCCTGGGCCACCAAAGTGGAGTGTGCAAACTTACCCACTACACCATGGGGCCAGCCCTGCAACAAAGGCTTTTATATGGAGCAAGAAATGCCTGATGTCTAAGATGGATTTTGAAAAGGTACAGGCACATGAGATTTAATTATGATTATTCACTGGCTACTGGAGTGCTCCAAAGAATTCCAGAAGAAAGTTCGTCTATGTTTCATAGGCCACAGTAAAGCCTTTGACTGCATGGCTCATGAAAAGCTACGGGCTGCTCTGAAAGAAATGGGTGTGCCTCCACACTTGATTGTCATGATTTGTAACCTGTATTGTGGACAAGAAGCCACTGTCAAGACAGAATATGGAGAGACAGGATGGTTTCATACAGGCAAAGGTACATTTTGTCTTCATATTGTTTGTATCTATCAGACAAGGGTGTATTTTATCCGTTTCATCTGCACACAGAACATATCATACGAAAGCTGGGCTAGACTCAGAGGAAGGAGGAGTGAAAATTGGTGGAAGAAATATTAACAATCTAAGATATGCAGACAATACCATCTTACTGGCAGAGAGCAACGACGACTTGAAATGACTTCTGACAAAAGTGAAAGAAGAAAATGCCAAAGCAGGACTGAATTTGAACATCAAGAAGACAAAAATCATGACTGCAGAACTACACAACCTTAATGTAGACAATGAGGACACTGAAACTGTTAGAGATTTTTGTTTACCTTTGTTCAGTCATCATGTAAATGGAGACTGCAGCCAAGAAATCAAGAGAAGACTGAGACTCAGAAGGCAGCAATGAGAGAATAAGGAAAGATCATCAAATGCAACAAAATGTCATTGGAGACCAAGGCCAAAGTTATCCATGCCTGCGTATTCCCAACTACTGTGGACGGGTGAGAAAGCTGCACAGTGAAGAAGGCTGAAAGGAAACAAATGGACTCATTTGAGATATGGTGCTGGAGGAGAGCTCTGCGGACACCCTGGGCTGCCAGAAAGGTGAACAAGTGGGTCCTGGAGCAAATTAAGCCTGAACTATCGCTGGAGGAAAACTGATACAACTGAGGCTGTCCTACTCTGGGCACATCATGAGAAGGCCAGGTTCTCTGGAAAAGACAATGATGCTGGGAAAAGTAGAAGGCAGCAGGAAAAGAGGAAGACCAACCATGAGATGGGTTGACACCATAAAGGAAGCCATATGCATGAGTCTACAGGAGCTGGGTAGGACTGGTGAGGATAGGACATGGTGGACATCACTCACTCAGAGGGTCCCCAGGAGTCAGACCCGACTTGATGGTGCATAACAACAAAGAGCAGCCAGAGGTCTGTGATCTGATGGATCCTTACCGAAATCATATCTGGACTCTCCTAATATCCTGTATCTATGTAGTTTTATTATGGTTCAAAGCAGGAAGCTGCAACCACAGTCTTCTTGCTTAGCTAATAAAACTGTCTAAAGAAATAGGCTGAGAGGGGCTGGCCCCATGGCCTAGTGGTACGGTTCCTGTGCTGCGCTTCAGCAGCCAAGGGTTTCGCTGGTTCGGGTCCTGGGCGTGGACATAGCACCACTTGTTGGGCCATGCTGGGGCAGTGTACCACATAGCACAGCCAGAGGCACTGACAACTAGAATATACAACTATGTATGGGGCGGGGATAGGGGGGTGCTTTGGGGAGAAGAAAAAAAAAAAGAAGATTGGCAACATATGTTAGCACAGGTGCCAATCTTTAAAAAAAAAAGAAATAAGCTGAGAGCCTGGAACTCAGACAGGGTCAGACACTAAGCCTGTTGATTACCTGTGCCAAAAGATTTAAAAAAAGAAAAAAAAAAGAATTGAGGTTATATAACAATTGTCATCACTGCTCTCTGAGATTGGCACACACACATACATATCCATATACAACCTTTCTGCCATCTTCTAAATTCCTGGTCTCAGACAAAAACAAAACAAAACTTGTATATATTGTGGGGGACTGGAATTGGCCACCCCAAGATATGTCTCTTTGGCATGAGGATTATCTTGGGCTGGTTACTTTTAAAAACTGCAGACAGGAAAGAAACTCTGAAAAGTAGAATTTACTTACCCTTTGTTAAGAGACATTTACATTTGTAAAGGAAATCTCCATCTGTAAAGGTGTCTCCCACTCTGTACCAGGAAGAAGGGGGGATGACCTTATCTCTAGAAACTCTTAATCAATGTGGAAGGCAAGGACTTACATCTGCATAATAATCTTACCCTTGTTCACTGTGCTTTTCTGGTGCTCTCCCATAACTAACTCCTCCACCCCCAACATCCTCCTTTTGTCCTTTACCTGAGGGTGGCATTTAAGGTGGTGGCTTCAGCCCTTTTGGCAAGTTCCTCAGTTAGCCTGAGCCTCTCCCATGTATACATGCTATAAAGCTGCGCTTAATTTTCTCCTGTTAATCTGTCTCATGGGAATTTAATTCATTTTCCGGCCAGAAGGACCCAGAGTGGGTAGAGGAGATGTCTTCCTCCCCTACAATATTAAGCACTAAGTACTAGGCCCTATGCTAAAAAATATACATCTCATTTGATTATCAAATAACCCCATAGGGAAAGTACTACTGTTATTCCCATTTTACAGATGAGCCTCACAGAGGTTAAGTAACTCAACCAAGTTTACACCAGCTTCTAAGAGGAAGAACGTGGATTTGAACCTACCTACCTAAATATGAAGGCCAATATCTTAACCACCAAATTCTATCTGCATGGTGCTTTAGAGCGCTCTGGCAACAGCAATCTGCTCACAAATGAATGAGCAAATGATAGTGTCGATATAAAACTGAGAAGGTGTAAAATGCAGTGGGTGAAAATAGTCGTAGAAAGAAAGAATATGATGCCAGTGCGAACAAAAACCACATCATCAAGTTTTAATCAGTTTGATCCTGTGTACGAAACTTACCTAATCAAATCTAAAGGCTGCTCCTTGTAAAAATAGGAAAATCGAGCCCAGTTCTGGCGAAGTATATACCTTTCATTGACAGGGTTAGGAGGTTCTGACGGCTTCCAATATTGACCCTAGAGATAGTGAAGAAGAAAGTACTTGAATGACAAAGCAAAAGACCAGAGGAAGTAGACAAACAGTGCTTTTAAAAGAAGGTTCGTAAATGAAGCAAATGCTTTCTTACTTCTAGACTTGGATTTTCATATTCCGTTGATGTGGAATAATTTGCTAAAATCTACCATGCACTATAGTAACGCTTCATTTACTGAATTCTTGAACCCAGTTATTCAAAAATACAAGTTAAACTTTGAGACTTTGCCTTTACTCAAGCTCTTCCTTTCACCCAGAATGCCCGTTCTTCTCTACTCAAATTCTAATAGAACAGCCACGGCTCAGGGGTTCATATAACTACACAGCTAGCTGGGACTTTAGAAACAGGCTAACACTTTCATTTTACAGATGGAAAAATTAAACCCCAAGCAAAGGTAGGTGAGTGACCCACAGTCACACAGCTATGACAGGAATCTCCTCTATGGAACCTGTCTTGTCCTCACTGGCCATCACTGATAACCATTTCCCGAAAAACTTAAAATATATACAACAAACTTCAGCACTTAAGAGCCTCAGTATTGTTTCACGCCTAAGTTTTCCCCATGGTAGATCCTGCAGGGCCTTATTCACATCCCTTTAGGGCCCAGCAGAGCACTGACTACACAGCCATTCAAAGCATTCTTTTTAAGCGTTAGCCTACACAAGTGTACAGCTGAAGGCATTCAATAAATATCCAATTTAAAATTAAGCACATGTGAAAATCTCTATGTGACAAGGTATAAGATTTTATATCATCCAAATCCTAACTTTTTTCTTCTTCTGTAGCTAATCCCACTGAATCCTGAAAAATGGTATAAAAAAAAAGAAAAAAGCAGCCTATTTGGGAATATTGAAAAATAATTCTTTAAAGTATGTAAGGGAAAACCAGTACCTAAAGTTGCATTCAGGAAAGAAAGAAAAAAAAGTAAAATTAACGGTAAATTACTGCTATCTCTAATAAGAGCTCAGTAACCCCGATTTCCTAGTGAGCACAAAGGACTCTACAGGAATACTAGACGCATGGATTAAAATTGCTGGTGACTGAGGATACTAGTTTGGCTTTATGACCTGGTAATAGTAAGAAGAGAATGAATGGCCTATAAACAAATGAACAAACAAACAAATTCTCAAAATCTTCAAAAAGGGGATGAACCCTTTTGTGAAGAAAGATTGACAAAGAATGCATTGCAAAGTGTTTATTAACCCATCGTAGATCTCTCTACATCACCAAATGCCAGTGGCCTTATTTAGAACCCATAATCCTCTAGAAATTCTTTTGCTCCAGGGAAAAATTGTGGTGGTGAGGAGGATGGTTTCTCTGACATTTAAGTTAAATTCACCTGAATTGATACTCCTGTATCATTTTGGAAAATATTGCTGTATCCTTATAGGAAACATATCAAAGATAAATAATTAATCAGTGTTGAACAGACCTAGAGTCAATTCTCATACTATTGAATAAATACTGATAAGGAAAGCTGGCACAATAGTTTAAGTCCTGGAAAAGAGATAGTTTGGCTCTGTGCTTTTGGAAACAATTACAGCAAAATTCCCTTCAAAACATGGCCAATGATTTGATGCTGCTTGTTTAAATGAAGATGCTCCGTTCTTCTATATTCCTGGGGAATGTGTTTCTCGAAAAGAGAGGACATCATCAAAAAGTCTTTTAAGTATGAAAGAGAGCAACGGAACAAAAGAAATGGAAGTTCCAAGGGGTGTGAGCTCTAAGGAGTGTACAATAGGTTCAGTCACATAATGTCTACTGCCAACAGGTGGTGAAATTTAAACAGCAATATCCAGAAGGGAAGGTTTCCCTCAGAAACCCCCGGAAACTAGGCTGTCTTGGTTGTCAAGCCAAGTTTTCAGATTTGGTCGAATAGGTGTATCACATAAAATGTCACTTCTTTGTTGAACTTACAAAGCTCAATATTTTTGTACGATGATCTCCTGGGCCCTAAGAATTATTCTTCCCAAATTCAGTTGTCTCAAGCTTTCTTACAGGCGGAAGTCTGTAACTCGTTTTGCAGTTGTACACGTACTTTATTTCCCAGAAATCTCTGGTCTGTGAGCTTGGATTCACGGTCGTGTTCCAATAATACTTAACAGGAGGCTTTATATATAATTAAAACCAAAACTGTATTTGATGAATGAATACATGAATGTATGTAATTCAAATCCTTTACGGCTTCAAAACTGTATAAATGAGAAAAGATCTGATGGATTCAGATAGAAATTTCCAAATATGATGTTCTAAAAGGTTCCTTCAATATAACTGCTATTTTCAATATGGGTTCTAAAGAAAATTCATGTGAAAAGGTAACAGTTTTTTTTAATGAATTTCCAATGAAATCCCGATGTGAAGAGGTACTAACTACGTGTTTCAACATAGCTGGTCAAGTTCTCAGCTTAGATCGAGGGAGACTGTAGGGATTTCCCCAACATGAGAGAGAATTAACCAACCCGTCATGAAAGAGGAAGCAAACTGAAAATGTCTCTCCCAACAAGGCAACCTCTGAATGTGGAAGAGGGAAAATGAATGGGCTCATAATTCAAGACCACAAATATACTTACATCATGGAGTGGATAGGCAGAGGAGTAAGTGTGAGAAGTGAGCAGTCTTTCAATCCCAAATCTTTTCTTCCCGTCTTCTACGCCAAAAGGACACCGTGAAAGAATATAATAAACCTACAAGGTAAGCAACAAAGAGACACACATTTCAGAACTTTATACTTTCCACATTTTTTTCACTCACAATTTAATAATGTGCTACTTGGTCTGAGTATAGATACAGGCTATGCTTACAGAAGGAAGCTTCCCTTTGATGTTTGGGGGAAGACGTAGAGGGTGAGGTTGTGTAGAGTTTGAAGGTATTTTAGCTCCTGGGTATGGGAGCACACTATTCCCTTGGGGAGAAGGGGCTATGGATCATAAGTGATCTTGCTCCTCCTGTCCCAAGCTCCTCTGGGAGTCCCTTTGCCAGAATTCCTACGATAATCAGGGCTTCAAGTTGGAGTCTAATATCACTGCTCCCAGCAGTTCAGTCAGGGGAACATAAGGTAGAAGTGATACTTGGCCAAGCTGCCTTGAACACTTCTTCCTTTAATTACTCTGATGATTTCTACAGGGCCTTTTCCTGATATGTGAACATATTAAATCAACATTATCTCTATAATTACTTCGCAATCACTTATATCTTTATACCCATTTTCCCCTCCATGTAATTTGGGCTTTGGTGTCCTCTGCTCTTGGATTTCTATCAATTCAATTTTCTCTGCTTTTTGGCTTCCAGCAACTTTTCAGAATTTCTGCTTTTCTGATTTCCGAATTTGGTCTTTTTAGCACTGTTTTAGATATATTTGCCTTCTCCCTCTGTTTTTTTACATTTCACCATTTAAGAAATTAGAGATTGGAATGGCTGTTGTCCTTGAATCATCATTATCTAATCTGGTTATTCATTTTGAGGGCAGCTTAATATTCCATCTTGGTAAATAAATCATAATTTATGTAAGGCGGTTTTAATTTTTATGAAAAATATGATAAATATTAACTATTCTACATACTTCCGATTGTTTCCTTAGGAATGATTCACCGAAATAAGAGCTCTGTCTTGGGGTGTTAATAAAGTGGAAAATTTTACTCTACCAGATAGTAAGACTTAGTATAAAGCTATGGTAAAAGAAACACAGCATGGTATTGTCAAATAAAAACAAATCTGGACTTAGGGAAGACATTACTAGAAAAGATCATTGTGAGTGGGTGAGGCAGACTATTGCAATAGGAAGATCTGTGAACGTCTGAAAGTCAGACAGAAAAGGGCTTTTCTTTTATAGGGAGAAGTAAGTTCAGGTTCCGGAGTGTCTTCCTTTGTGTTAAGGAATGGCTATTCCACAGGCCAATGCTGGCTCAGGTTGAGGGTGCCTCATAGCTTAGGGTCCTGTGGGAAAGAGAGAAGTTTAATGAAAGTTTGGTCAATCCAGCTAAGAAGTACTTTGTTTTGATGGATCAATGGCGATAAATAGTTCAGCTGAGCATCTATGAAACAAAACACAGGAACGGGGAGTGCCTGTGTCTGACTTCTATTACTATAAGGTAGTAACAAAAGGAAGAGACTGCAAGAGTAAGAATAGATCTAAAAGAACTGATATTTCTCTGGTGTCTAAAGAGAAAGAGACTTTCTCCGCCTCCTTTTTTCTTAGAGCATTTCCTTTAGAGAACTTATAAGTTCTTTATCCTTTTGAGATGTACATAAATCTTTGTAAAAGCTAGACAAACCTCTTGCCAGTTTTACAACTCAGGAGTGTTTTTCTGAAGTTTTCTGGGTGCCATCTCTCTTAAATGTAAACGTCAAGAAAAAGAGCATCCGTATCCCCTTTTCTCTATGGGAGTAGAGCCTGGGCACCTGGCGCTAAGTTGTAACTACCTGCTCGACATAGGATATGAGAAGTTTTATTTTTTCCTTGGATAAAGACAACTAACACAGAAGGACGCTTCAACTACCGAGTGAATTTAGGATGAACTATGTGGTAAATGGTGCTGTCAAGTCACACTGTGGGGAGTTATTGATGAATATTCTTGAAGTCACTGGGGAAAGGGTCGTTCTTCATGATAAGCAGTTTCTCAGAACGAGAAGAGTGGGGCATTTCTTTAATTGTCCCTGTTTTCCGGGACTACAGAACTCAGGTAAAGTTCAACCTTGTCAGTATTAACACAAAAATAGATAAAAAGATCAAAGCAGTAGAATTGAGCCCAGAAGTAAACCTATGAATACATAGATTCTTGAGTTATGACAAAGGTGGAACTGTAAAACAGTATGAAAAGCTGAATATTTTCAGTAATTGGTATAAGTTGAATGACTATACATCTTACAACAATAAATAGGGGGAAAATTATACAACGATATATGGGGGAAGAATTGGCTTCTATCTCACACCCTGCACAAAAATTAATTCCAGATGGATCGTAGTTCTCAATGTGAAAAGTAATATAATATAACTTCTAGAAGATAAAATAGGAAATTAACTTCATGCTCTTGGTGGTAGTTAAAGATTAAGAGCATTATTCATAAAGTAAAGGCTTGAGAAAGTAGACTACATTAAAATCAAAAACATTGTTTATCAAAAGAAACCATTAAAAGAAAGAAAGGGAAGCACAAAGTAGGAAAAAAATCAGTAAAACATACAATGATCAAAGGGCTCGTTTAAAGAATATATAAACAGTTCCTACAAAACAATGAGTAATGGGAAGACCTAACTGAAAAACAGACAAGAGACGTTAGCAGGGATCTCACAGAAGCACGTATCTAAATGCCAAATAAACATACACAAGGTGATGGATCTTATTTATGTCAGACAAATGCAAATTAAAACCATGACACAGACACAAATAAATTTCCATACAAAGTAATGAAAATGAATAAACAAAAACTTACATAAGAGGTAAATTAATCCCCCAAATGAACTTTGAGCCAAAGAAGCCAGACTCAAGAGAATACATACTATATGATTCCATTTCATAAAGTTTAAAAACAGGCTGAACTAGTCTCTGCTCTTAGAAGTGGCAGTGGCCCTCTGCTGAGAAGGACAGAAACAGTGGCTGGCGGGCAGCACTGGGGCTTCCGGGGGAGACGGACGCTTTCTGTTTTGATCTGGGTGATGGTTACGCGGCTGTGCTAATTTTGTAATAATTCAGTGAATTGTACACTTATGATTTGTAAGCCTATCTCTATTTATGTTATTCTACAATTTAAAAAGAAAGATTGGCAATTTCCAGTATTAGGAGAGATATGTGGAAAACTTAGCACGCTCATATCTTGTTACCAGGAATCTACAATAGCATATCTTTTTGCAAAGGGTGATAGTGTAATATATCTAAAATTTTACATATGCATGCCCTTAAATCCATAAATTTTACATGTGATATCCATTTTGCAGAAAAACTTAAATATATGCTAAAATATGTAAATACCAGGTTGTAAACGGCAGAATTGTTTGTAATATCAGAAAAGTTGGAGACAAACTCAATAGCTGTCAGAAGTGGAAATGTTTAATAAAACTACGTTGTATCTATGTATTAGATATTATAAAATATATAGCATGAGACTCAGATGTCATGATGATTGTGAAGATGCTTTGAAAAGCATAAAATTCTATACTGATGTAAGATGCTCTTGTGATAATATTCAACTTGCACATACATAAACAATAGTGTTCTGGATGAGGGTAGAAAGGAAGGGATTTTTCTACATTAGTTTCCCAAATAACTTCCTCAACAAAGCGAGAAGAGTACTGCTCCCCCCAGAAGGGGGGAAAACTGTTGTGTTTTAATGCTGAATTAACCTAAGGTAGCGGCACTCTTTACAAAGAACAAGTCAAGATAAATGAATACTGGCATGTCTACACCTGATCCAGTTCCTCATCTGTTCCTACAGGGTCACCGGCCTTTTGTTAACAACTTTCTAAGGCAATAAGCATATCAGAAGTGCTTCACAATTTGCAGAGTGCTTCACATACACTCATTTGATACTCCCAACCATGCCAGTATCCATTGTTATCTCTGTTTTAAGAGAGGTTATCTTATTGAGAAGGTAGCAGAGTTAAGACTTGAAACCAGGTCTTCTAATTGTGTGTCATGTGCTCCTTATTCCCTTAAAAGCTGCCTCTTAGGATTGTTGTTGTTTTTTAATCCTGGTAAGAAAAGGGAGAAACTTTTCAGTTTGTGGATTCACATTTTTATATGTAAATTCTAGGCATTACATTTTGTTTAATATTCCTGTCAGTAAATTTAGGAACTAGAAAAAATGATTATTTCAAGATCCTTCTTACACACTTAAATGTGCTGAACCTAAAGACCTCTAGCTCCTCAGGGCAGAGGGCAGGCAGCCCCAGGGGAGGGTCTCGTGATTGCTGGAACCCTGTGACCACATTAATAGGCAACAGACAGAAGGGTAAGAGCAACAAAGACCCTGAGCTTTTTCCTTCTAAAGTCAGATCAACGATAACAACATCTAACACTCATGGAGCACTTAGCATGTTCCAGAAACTTCTCAAAGCAAATCATTCAATTCTCAGGGTAACCTATGAGGGGGATGTTATTCCTATCTTTACACAAAGAAACTGGCACAGAAACTGCTATTCTTGAGGAGAGAGGGTTTTAGTGGGAAACTTAAAGAGCCTAGGACTACAAATAGAGAGGAAATATTATTATTCAAAAGACTGAAAATGGTTTTAAATGAAAGTAAAAAGTTCTGAGGTTTCTCAAATGCTATCTATATATAAAGAAATTAAAACCTTCCATTTCCATTTGGAATGACCAATATTCCTCCTACAATGCACTGAATTTATAAAACCAAACTCTAAGATTACGAAACCATTTTACAAAGATCTTATACACTCAAAGTCCTCTGGCTCTCAACCAAGTGCTTCCCCGGATCACAGGATGCCTCTTTCCTTCCTGTGTCCACACTGTCAAGCATTCACCTTTAAACAACAGTTTGAGAAGTAGGGAGGTTAACAGATTTGATTGGTCCAAGTGGACTTCCAAACCTGCCCGATACCACCAAATGCTTATCAAAATGTACGCAGACACACCCTGCAAATATAGTATCACTCATATGCACGTACACATCACACGTCCCTCACTGGAAGGGATGTGCTCCCAGCACTTATCTACCTACAATTCTGTTTCTCATTGAGGATGGAAAGAAGCTTGACTCGTCTTCAATGAGGAAGAGTTCCTGCCGATTTCTGCTGAACTGGGCAGTGAAATATTCAGGACGAGGATGCTTCACATTCCTTGGGAGCTTCACAGGGCCAGCCAGATAGCTCAGGGACATTTTCTCATCTCGGGGAATCTCAGTCTCCTTAATGGGCATTTTGACTCCCAGCACTTCCGCATAAGTAACTAATACCTCCCATGGGGCATGGATCTTGACAAAATAAGTTCTTCCATCTTCAGAGTTCTGTATAAAAAGGAGGCAAAATAATAGAAAGCTTACTGATCTGTTTGTTACTGAGCTGATTAAAGAAACGAAACAAAATTTGATAACATCTCAAACAAATTAAAGATATCACAGCATTTTCAATTTATTGAAATTTTTCAGCAGAACTTTTACATGTATATGTAAGTATAATATATATATATTATATACATGTGTGTGGGTGAAACAGAGACAAAGACTATCTTTTTAAACATATTTCAGGGTCAATGTACACTGGACCGAAATCCACAGATACACATGTAGTTCCCGGCACTGTCTTACGTTTTCATGCTTAGGGCATATGAGGGACACACACAAAGTGTAAGACCTACTCAGTCTTCTTACTCAGACCCTGTGTACAGCCCAAACCCAGAGGAAGAACTTTAGGTAAAAAAGGGTTCATTACACAGGAGAATAATTAAATTATAGATTGTGTGGTATAATATATATTTATTAGTTTAGTAAAAACAGGAATAAGTAAGAACTAGAAAGTATTAATTTAGAACTAGAGACTATTAGAGTTTCATGGACAGAGTGGGATCTCAAACAGGTCTTTAAAAACAATTTTGAAGGAAATTCTAGAAAACCAGTAAATGGCAGGAGATAAAAAAAAAAAAATGAACTTGGCATATTCATGAGCAGAAAAAGCATCTTTTGCCCTACCTTGCAGCTTGTGCTGCAAGCTAGTCAGTTAACTAGTTAGGGCATCTTCAAAACGAGACAGATTAGAAACAAAAACCGTTATAGGCAGCCTTCAAAATGAGACACCTATGAAACAAAAGCCATGTCTTCACTGCCTTTGTATCCTGAATAGACTGACGTATGTCTGTTTTTAAGTGTTCCACTCGTTATCTCATATTCAGAGCACTGACCTACTTACCCGCCTGCAAGCCCATCGGCCCTACCATTCCCAGTGTACATATCTGCGGCCAAAAAGGCTACTGTATGGCTCCCAAACTCAGTCTATCCAGTCAAAGGCCAGAGGAGGAGGAAACAACACTTAAAACACCAAGATTCTAGTATAAATTTACCCTTTTGTCTTCAGTTTCCAACTCAAGGCCTGTTTTTCTGAGATTTTGCTCAAATATTTTTCTTCTTTCCTATGGAAAAACAAATCAATACAATTATGTAGAACATTTCTATTTGCCCGGTGGTAAACAGATTTGTTGTACAATGACCATCCCTTCAGCTGGTCCTCTGCTCTTCCCATGGGTGTAAATAAATGTACGTTATGTATTACCCCCTTTTCGTGCCATGTACTGGTTTTCCCCAGTACTATAATTCACAATATAACTATAAAAATTCAGTACATCTAGGAATAATCTCCAGGAAATGTGCAGGATCTCTACCTGAAAAAAATGCACAAAACTTTACTGAATAACATGAAAAAAACTGGGTAATCAGAGAGACATATCCTGCTCCTAGCTGAGAAGATTCAGTATTACAAACCTAACCGTACTCTTCAAATAAACTATATATTTAATGCACTTTAAGCCAAAATATCATCGTGACATTTTAATCCTGAACAACAGAATGGCTTCAATTAGAAAAAGTAAAATTAAATTAAATACAAATAATCATTACTTGTAGAACGTAAAGCATTGCATTGATTGTTGAAAAATCTTTTGGCCTTAATTATGATTTAACTGTAAAAAATTTCACAGTCACGGAAATTTTAAAAGGCTTCCTAGGATATTACAGGACATTCATTTTCGAATGGACATGTGCACCTTGAGATATCTTCAAACTACACAAGGAACGAAAGATCATTTTCTTGTGTTCTTTTTCTCCACTGTCCTTCTCAGCTCCCCTCCTGTAATCGCCCTTCCTCTATGCTGCCAAAGCAAAGCAAACTGCCCGCTTCTGGGAAACAAACAAGGGGGAGGGGCAGGAAGGCCATTCAGAATATTTTCAGTATTGAAAAAGTGAGTAACTCTTCTCATTGTAGTAACAAATGCTTGTGCAAGTCATATGGTCACCAATTCTCTAAGTTCAACAAATTGAAGACAGAGCTAATAGGATTGTTAGCTAGGAGACCATTAAATAGTACACTTACGACAAATCACTTCGTAATTTGGGGATATAATTCAGGAGTTAAAAAAAGATTAAAACTGCTAAAATAATACTCTTTCTATTACAATTTACTTATTTAGCTGAACAAGCTTAATTGATACTAGTATATATAAAAACAAAAGAGGAATATAGTTGAAACAAAACCACCTCATTCGAGGAGTAATTTTCATTCATTTATGAATAAAGAAAATATTTTTTAAAGCCCCTCTGTCCATCTCGTTAATTGATGCATTTATGATAAGTTTGCTTTTTAATCTCTTTATTTTATTTTATTTTAATTAATTAATTAATTTTTTTGAGGAAGATTAGCCCTGAGCTAACATCTGCTGCCAATCCTCCTCTTTTTGCTGAGGAAGACTGGCCCTGAGCTACCATCCATGCCCATCTTCCTCTACTTTATATGTGGGGCGCCTACCACAGCGTGGCTTGCCAAGTGGTGCCATGTCCACACCAAGGATCCAAACAAGCGAACCCCAGGCCGCCAAAGTGGAACGTGCAAACTTAACTGCTATGCCAGTGGGCCAGGCCCATGATGAGTATGCTTTTTATATTAGATAATTACTTGTCAAATTTTATAATATATTCATGATGTTTTATCAATTATGCATTTGTATAATTGTTAAAAAAAACTCAAAAGGAAAAGTTCAAGGCTTAGACTGTTATGGCTAAAGGAAACAAAAATATTTCAATGTATATACATATATTTGTTTTAGCAAACTTATGACTGAACAAACAAAAAAAGATTCCCAAAGATAAAACATTTACATTGGGAAAAATTTATGCATGGAAAGTGGAATGGAAATTTTAGGTGAAGGAGAAAAATAAATGATGTCAGATTTTAAGTGTTATAAAAGGGTTTCTTCATATAATTTCTTTTTTTAAAATGAATGACGGTGGGTGTCAAATTTCCATGGTATTTACTTTATTTGGATATATGCCAAAAAATGATTTAACTGGACCATTTACAATATTTTGTAAATTACATCTTTTGCAACTACTGAAATGTATGATGAATAACTGTAGATGGAGAAGGCCAGTAAATGGATGCGGCTTTCGAGGGAGGTTCAGGAGTTCATTTCAGACCTGTTGAGTCTGAGATGTCTCTCAGACTTCCAAGGAGAGATGCAGAATAGTCATATGGGAGAGAAGTATGGGCTGGAAAGGTAAACTTTGGAATTAACACAGAATTGGTTTTAAAACTGGGAGACAGGATGTATCTTCAATGAAATTGATGCAGGTTGAGAAAAGAAGAGGATTAAGGAATGGCAGCTGAGGTGCTATAATAATAAGGGACCAGGGAGAAGAAAAGATTGAGAAAGAACAAATAGTGTAATAAGAGAAAACTAAGAGAATGTGGAGTCCTGGAAGCCAAGCGAAGAGCATACGTAGTAGAAAAAAGAATGATAAACTGTGGCAAATGCTGCAAACAGGTCAAGTAAGATGAGAGTTGAGACTTGACCACTGCATTCATTTATAGAAAGATGGTGAAGGCCTGATAAGAATGCGTTTAAGAGAAAATTGAGAAGAAAGGAATTTCAGAAATGGACAACAGCTGGCAGGGAAATTAAGATCAAGAGAAGATTTTTGTTCTTGCTTTTTTCTTTTTTTTTTAACATGGAAGAATTAACAGCACATTTCTTTGTTGAAAGAAATGATCCCACAGGGGCTGGTCCGATGGTGTGGTGGTTGAGTTCGCGCACTCTGCTTCAGTGGCCTAGGGTTTGCAGGTTCGGATCACGGGCATGGACTTACCACCGCAGGCTGGGCCATGCTGTGGTGGCATCCCACATAAAACAGAGGAAGATTGGCACAGATATTAGGTCAGCGACAATCTTCCTCAGTGAAACAAAAAAAAAGGATCCAATAAAGGACAACAAAAAATATAATTTAGGAAAGAGAGGCAAGAATTGTAAGAGCAATATCCTGAAGCAGGCATAGAGAAGAGTCAATAGAACGGGCTTGAAACTGCTCTCCTTAGAAAGGGATCTGCCTGCACAGTTGGCTCTGGCATCTGGGAACTTGGTATTCAGGAAGGTTCCCATCACTCCCAGAACTGATCAGAGTGGTTCACTTTACCTAAACTGTTTGTACAAACACTATAGTTTATGTTGAACATCTGTTTTCCTTCTGGGACTATGAAACGTTGGTATGTGCTAGGCAGAAGGTGACAAGGTGACCAGCCCCCAATAAAATCCTAGGGCTCTGAGTCTTTAATGAGCTTCCCTAGTAGACAACACTTTCCATGAGATGTCACTGTTACTAGAGGAATTAAGCACATCCTGTGTGCCCCTACTGGGAGAGAATTCTTGGAAGCTTGCTCCTGGTTTCCCCTGGACTTTGCCCCGTGCATCTTTTCCCTTTGTTGACTTTACTTTGCATTATTTCATTGCAATAAAACATAGCCATTGAGTATGACTACATGCTGTGTCCTGTGAATCCTTCTAATAAATCACCTAACCTAGGGGTAGTCTTGGTGACTCCTGAATTATAGGCAAGACGAAATGAGATCCAGGGCACAAGCGGAGGTGTTTGCTTTAGGGAGAAGGATAGTTTGACCGTGCTAACGGGAAGAAAGGTAGATTATACAAGTGAAGATGCTGGTGGATGGACAGACGTGGTGATGGAAATTTAGAATTTCTCTTCTGCTTGCTTCATTTTTCTCAGTGAATTAGAAAAGTGTGGTCAACTTAGCTTGAAAATGGGGAGGAGGTATTGGAGGTATGAGAAAAGAGGAAAAGTTACAAAGCAGTCATCCAGGAGAGTGGGAGGCTGAATAGAATAAGGAAGCCAAGTCTGATTGCCAGACAGCATTAGGGACGCAGCAGAGGTTCATGGGTACAAATATGTGGGAAAACCAGTAAGTGAATCTTATGTCTTTCTGCATGGCTCTGGCACATGGTAGGTGGAGAGCTGAGGTTAACTAAAGTTGTTGTTTTGCCAATTAAGTACAATTGAGAGAGGGGCAAGGAATTTGATGGCATGTAATAGAGTGATTCCATTTGTTGAGCATGAGATTTAAGCTGGATAAGCATACAAAGAGCTGAATAAGAGCAGCAGTGAGAAGGGGCTAAGATCAGTGTATCTTTTCTGGTCCTGGCACAGCTGAAGGAGGAACCCTACTAGTCAGAAAGGTCTGAGGGCTTGTTCAGATAGCTGGATGCCTGGAATGAGATTATAAAGAGTTGCAGTTAATGCTAATGACAAGTTCTAGGGGAATGGATGGCTGAGTTAGAGACAAAGATAATTTCAGGAAACAGAGACGCTGGGATGCTGAAATAATCATCTATGTACACATTGAGATTATCAATAATTAAAAAAGGAGAGCCTGGTAGTGAACTTGGAGCTAAAACTGTTGAGAAATAACAGGGAAGACCCAGGGACAGATTAATAACAACGATACAGGGGAGTGATGACTCTGCTGAGATTTAAAGCTCAGGAACTCAGGGACAAGGGAAGGAGAATGAATGCAATCCTCAATAAGACACAAGGAGGGCAGGCATTCACTCATCTGCGGAAAAAGGCTCCACAAGGAAAACACCACCACCACTTGGGAGGACGGGTGGAGAAGGCAACGAATCTCCATGAAGAGCCGGGTTGGAGGGAGCCATTCAGAGAAGAGGTGAAAATGCTGATAATGAATGAATTTCAGAGGGCTGCTGGAAGAGTTTCCAGGGAAAAGGTGGAAGAAAGGGACAGAAATGGATACATATTGGGTCTTATGGAGATAATATCTATAGCTGTTTATTTTTACTTTATATGACATTTATTTCCTATGTAAGTATATTAGTAAATGTGTGTGCATATATATATGCTTATACATATGGATTAATATATTAATTCAATATTTCAAATATCTAATATTTACTGAGCATCCATTATGCTCCAACCACTGTTCTAGGCATTTGGGTATACAGCAATGAACGAGACAAAATCCTTGGTCTTATGAACTTAATTATGGTGTCGGATACAGCAAACAAAAAAAGAATAAGTAATATAAGTTCAGAAAGAGATGTGAAAATGAAAAGACAAAAGGATAAGAAATAGGGCATAGTGTGAAAGCTGTTTCCGATAAAATGGATTAGCCAAATGTCTTCAAACTGAAAACTGCATATAAAAGATAAATATTACATTCAGACAAACTCAGATTTTGAATGTCACGTTTCATATCTAAGGTGAGCTGTTTAAAAAAAAATCAGTTAGTTGGAGGCAGAAGAAAAGGAAGTTAAGTGTCTGAAATGTCCAAAAAAATAAAGTCGAATTTACACATCCATTCTTAGGCTGCCCGTGTCGTAGTCTTCTCACAGAGTTTCGGCTTTCAGTAACCACTTCAGAGGCCTCTGACTTTCACTACATAATTCAGCGGGAACATCCCTGTGAAACTCTTGCAGGGGCCTCTTTCTATTACTCTCGTTTCTCTCATGTAAGCACTTACCGCCTTTAACTCGGCTTCTTTCTTTATGTCATCAACATAGGAAAGCACGAAATCAATTTGCCTGATCCCATCTCGGAAGAAGATAGAATCTTTGCTTTGTTCATCTCTTTTAAACTGCAGGAGACATGAATGACACAACTTTAAATCAATTTCATTTTCAAATGGCAAAAACATGAAAGGGATTAGCTAAAATTTGGTCACCATCTAATTTTTTTCAGTCCCCAAATGGTGGTGAAGGCAGATAACCAGAGTTCCCATCAACAGAAGATGACGCTCGTTTTAGAAAGTGACAACCCATAAAGGAGACATATACGAAACAACAGGGGCTAAGCATGTTAACTACATGCACACACAACAAAAATGCTGCAATTACACCAAAGTAGGAAATGAATATATGCATACACTCACCCCAAAACGCATATTTAGAGAGAGACTTGTTATCTTCATTAAACAACATGCCCACTAGTCCAACAAATAATTCATGGTTGCACACTGCTTTAGGGGTGTGATTAATTACAGACCAATTAATGAATCTCACAGTAAGAAAATAAACTTACGATTAATGTTTATACTACATTTTCATAAAATTGCCAATTTATAATTCAACTTTGGAGGGTTAAAATAAAATCAAGGTGCAGTTAAAAACGAGAAAGCAGGTAGCTTGCCAGCCGGCTTCTCTATAAGTAAACTCTCATGCAAATCTCCTTTCAAAATCAATTTCCTAAATGAACCAAAATCAATCCTTTGTTCGAATTTGTGTTATCAATTCTCTCAGTATAATAGTTAGACTTAAAAATTTGCTTTTCACATGTTTTATAGTTCTAATTCCTTCCCTTTCAAAAGTGAGAAAACACTAGAGAGCTTCAGAAAGAAGAGATTTTATGTTTGACTGATTTGATCTCCTTCATAGTTTATATGTAATTTTTGATATTTAGTACTGGAATAGCCTGCGTATAACACTTAGAATGATACAAAGAGATGAGGTATGGACATACGTGATCTCTCTAACCCTGTGATGCAAAGTTGTAATACAGGCAACTTTCCAGGCGCTTTAACTAACCTGTGACTGGGGAACCGGATGTTTTTAATTTTCATGACTGGTATTTATATTAGCTTATGAGTTTCTTTTATGGTACTTTATGCTTTTTTTTCACCCAAGTCAGGCCAGGCAGACCTCCCATAAAAAGGAATGGATATAGATCAGTCATGTAAAAATAAGACAAAAACCTCCTGTTGGATCTGCGGTGTGTGAACAGAGTAACTGTATTTTATCTATATGAACGCATAGCTGACATGTCTCAGAAAGGGAATGAACAAAGCAGCTAGAAGAACAGTGACTCCAACGATTTTTCTGAGTGTTCAGTCAAAATGGGTATATACAGACTTCCCTTCTGAAAGCCAAAGGCTACCGAGGAAAACCCAATTTCTAGCATTATGTCGTGCCCCAACTATAAACTGTGACATTTTTTAAAATACAGAGAGATCACTGGTAGCCTTGTAAGTCACCAGGAGGTACATGTCTTAGGACTGTTAACAAAAACTGGGTAAAGCCAACCGGGGCAGAAAAACCTCACCATTTTGTTATGTATAACTGAATACTATTAAAACACATCCTTCTTTTGTTTTGCTCAAGACATGACATTAAGACCATATTTTTCGGTGTGTGTATGTGTTTGTGTTTACATTTGATTTGTTCTTAGAAATGCCTATTTATAATGAGGCAAACATCTGGGCTGCTTTTCTCTGAATGAGGTAGTTATTTTGAGGTTCATAGACCTCAATTCCTGATGGAGGTTCATAAACCTCTGAGACTGCATGTAAACTGTGTACGTATGTGTGTATATACATATGTGTATGTAATATACACACACACACACACAGATTTTTGGAAGAGGGTCCATAGCTTTAATCAGATCCAAAAAAGATTAAGAATCACTATTCTAAAACCTCAATTGCCTGGGGACTAAAAACCAGTGACAAAGTCCCCCAAAATCAATAGTGTTCATTGGAAGAGAAATGACTCCGGCTATCACTGCAGCACCCAGAGCACAAGCAGCATCATTCCACACCGGTTTTACCAGGACACGTCGCCGCAGGAACAAATTGAATCGCTTTGCGGGCTGTGGAGCAATCAATGGAGAGTTAGAGAACCCTGCCCAGGATTAAAGAAAAGTTTCCCCCAATACGGACACGCACACAAACCACCCCTCAGTACAATCACCCGTGTGAACTCGTGTGTGTGATATTTAAAGCTGGGGTGGGGGGGAAGTTAGCAAGAAGGAAAGAACAAAAAACAGGAAGAAAACAAATAAAGAAAAGAAAAAACCAAAGACTTCCAAGTAATTTTCCCTAAGTTCTTTATACAGTAACTTTAAACCATACATATTTGTGGAACTGAATTAAGGAAGAAAGGAGAGAGAAAAAATAAAAATGAAGTGAAATGTAAATAATGAAGATGTAAAGTAAAATAGGTATTCTGTTAAGTGTACCCCTATCAGGCAAAGAAAGCAAAGTTACTACAATTATTCTGGGATTATTTGTATGGTATGGAAAGTTGACCCAATAGTGTAAAACATTTCATAGCCTCCCAAAACACTGGGGGGAAAAAAGGAAATGTCATTGGATTATTCCAACGCTGAGTGATCTTCAATCTTCAGTTACTATGACCACTATTTTTAAACACCAAGGCAATTACCTAAAAACATCTGGAGTAATCAATAATATTTGAAAGAAAACCAAACCTATGGTACAGAAAGGCAAGTAGTCTGTGTATTTTATAGTCCATGAAATGATAGCTAATCTAATAAAATGATCAATAAAGGGTTTCAGTTCTTATCGTACAAAGTTTTGCTTAAACTGTTGTTTCCTACAATAGCCTAACATTGGAGAGAAAATTCCTGCTTTGTAAACTGCCAAGCCTACTATGACAGATGAGTTAACACTGCTGTTATTTAAAAACATGACAGATACATGATGGATGCTGGTCATTGAATAAAGCAGATTTTGAACTATATTCTTCTGTTGGGCTGAAATTTTTCACCTCAGCACTTTGATTTTCTTGGAATCTTTCATGAGATTTACAAGTTACTGTTTTTCTCAGATGTTCTCCCTAAATTCGTTACAGAATTGTTAAGGGAAATGTAACAGGCGTACCCTAAGGGGCCATGCAGGACCACATTATGACTTCCATGGGCCCTGGCCTGTTTGCCTTTTATGGGCCCCTTCCTCCATTAAAAAAAAATTAAAAATTAAAATAGATATACATATACACACACATACAGATAAGATACATACTATTATATTTGTGATTTTTTCTTCTGATTTTAAAAGAAATTAAAATTAAGACATTTCCATGGGCTCCAAAAAAGTATTGGGGCCCCTTGTCGGCACTGTGCCTACTGTGCCTAAAGGATCAGTTGGCCCTGGAGTCAGGTTACCGAGGTACCACCACGTTCAAGAGCTGCTGGGAGCTCAGTGTACAAAAATCATCTAGATGATTGGCAGAAAGCCTTCTGTGATAAATACATCTAATATCAAGTTAGTTTGCAGCTTCTCCAATACACATGATATCTTCACATTATAAAAACCAATGGGCTCAATACCAGCAATTGGTCCTGAAAAAGTATTGACTCAATAGTTAATATTTTTTTAACTTGATTTTAAATATATTGAATGAAGATCACCAAAGGACTTGATTAAAAAAGGTAATATTAACATTCTACACAATAAAAATTCAGAATAAATAAATAGAATAAATAATAGAATAAAATAATAATCTATTATATATTTCCAGCTTTTGCTGAATGTGTTCACTTTGTATTAAAAAAATGGATAACACTGAAACTAATGAAAAGTTACTTTTAAAATCATTCCTATTTTCTTGTTACCTCAGTATCTATTTGATGTATTTATTTCTGGTTTTGTCTAAGCACTAAGTACATATTTAACGTACACAATTTTCTTGCCTTTTTCATATTCCTGTAATATTAAAATAAATTTTCATATATTATAAGCTTTTCATAAACATAATTTTGTCTACATAATTTTGATTCATTAAATTCAATCTAATTTATTTGTAAGAAGGTACTTTAGATTCCCTTCTCTAGGAGCAGAGTTGAAAACCTATATCGCTGTGCTATATTGTAGGAGTTGTCAATAGCATCTTTCTCTCATTAGATACAATTTTTGTCACTCTTCTGGATTATTATTCCTTTCTTTCTCATTCCTCACAGCCTTCCTTGGCTGTTTTTGAATGTCCTCAAGAGGCCAGCCACTGACCAGTGTAGGCGCTACCTAGTGTGGGAGTAGCAGGCAGCACTCAGGTAGCTGACTCCAGTTGCTGTCTCAGCTCCCTGATCATTAGTGAGAGTTTAGGGAGAAAAAAGTCCAGTATTATAGACATTTCCGGATTGTATATTCTAAGAGAATGAAAATCAATTCATGGAATTATATAACAACCCATTCAATGTTCTGAATTTCTAAGCAAAAAAAAAGTCCAACTGCTCTTGAGACTTGAATTTCATATTAAAAACTATATCATCCCTTGATGTTAAGGATATAGATATTCAATCTACAAACTATAAAACCTCTTACTGAGTGGACCCTTCACAAGTCCTAAATTTAAACAAAACCACAGCAATTAAATAGTAACTAGCATACCCTGATTTCTTCGTGCCAGACACTGTGTATTCTGTATGTTTAATAGAGTTATTGGGTAGATCCTGTTAACTTTCAGCAAATGGCAATGAAGACATATAAGCAGCTTGGTACACCAAAGGCTGGGCAGTGGTGCAAGCAAAACGAAAACAAGGAAACCGACAAAAAGTCAGTTACCAGCAAATTCTAAACAACATCACTGACAAAATAGTCCACCCTGAAAAATATAATTTTGTCTAACTCCTAAACAGTTGCTGAGCTTTTGTTGAATTTTAATAACCTATATGTAAGTTTCAATTTTGTAAATGGAGGTTAATTTGGAGAATCCCCAGTTATATGTGACCAGATCCGGATATGCCAATGATCGTGGATTCAGCAATAGACCTCGCTTTGAGAGTATATGTGTAATTGTCTTGAAGATTGCTTTGAGTGCATGTCATGTTCCCGGCCTCTGTGGTCTACATATTCCTATGTTTAAACTATAACTTCAAAATAAACAATAACAGCTGTGTGAAATTTTCCTTCCTATTTTTCTAGTGCGAAGTACTAGATGAATTAACCAGACAAAAATATTTGCAAGCACCTGCAAGGAACCTTGAAGAATGTACGGTGAAACGTCAAGCTTTAAGCCTGTTCCTTGAAGACTGGCACAGAGAAATTGTGAAGAAACCATTAATGATGCAGCAAAAAATTTAAGGAAATGGATATCCGCACATAAAAAGAGAATCCAATTTATAAGGACAATGCCAGGGAAAATGACAAAAGACGCCTGTCTTACATGTCCAGAAAAAACCAGAATTTCAATTTTTGAATTCATCAATCAGTTTCACCAAAAACTAGACATTCCTTCTGTGGTAATGGGACCAATAACATCAATATTCACTCTCATTTAGCCATTTTCTCTGTTTTTCGCTTTTGTTATTTTTGCAGAAGAAGAAAAACTGAAAGTTTTTATCAAATATAATTGAATTTAGGATGGATCTTTCTGGTGAAGATCCTTCTACTGGAATTCTTTTTCCACGGCAAAAATATTTGAAAGCAGATACAACAGATCTCAAAACAACAAAGACATGCACAGTATTATGATTTCCTTAGTTAACTGTGCAATGGGATTTTGTGAATCTCTAATACTCTCATCCTCATGTTCAAAACTTTCCCTAACTATTGGTATAGCTGTTGCTTCACGTTAAAGAAACTTTTGAAGTTAAAAGTAATGAAATATATTCTTTGATCAACTATGAGTATACTTTACAACTCTGGCTATACACTGTTGAACATAAATATGCAAAGCTCAACTTTAAGTACATCACTGACACATTTGCAAAAGGTCCCAAAACAGGCACTATAACACTATTATTCATTTCTGAGATAGACTAATATGTAGGAACAAGGTTTTCCCTCATTTCTTCAGAAAAATTAATTAACATAATTTAAAAGTATTGATTCATCTTTTTTGTAATAATATATTTACTTTTAGTCTTTACTTTTTTAACTGGCAAAAATATATATGTATGTAAATTCAATAATACAAATTTTTCACTGTATGGATTTCTTTTCTGGCCATCATTATTATTTATTTCATTTCATGATTAGGCCTGCAATATATTTTGCCGTGTAGAAGAGGTGTGTTAAGACAAATTAACTATTCTGGGTGTCAAACAAGGAATAGACTGGCTCAGAACTTTAAAACAATGAATATTCTGGTGAAGCTTCTGAATATATTTTATTAAATACCATAACAACTAACACAGAAAAAAATAATTCAGAGCAAATATCTCCTAATACTACCACCATCTTTTTAGGTTATGTGAGACCACATAAAGGAATGCTCACATGTAGAACAAAGCTTAACATCAAGAAGTTAAAGAAATGTGGTCTAGAGCCTTCTATATGCTTTCATTTCATTCAAGTCAACCTCCCTTTTTTCCAAGAGCCCATTCTGACTTCTTCATGACTTCCCTCCATACAGTGAGGGCTCTGTCATCTGACATCCTCCTGCCCTTGCACCTGCACTGCTCACGTGGCACTAGCACGCTGCTTTAGGATGTCTCATATGCTGACTGCTGTCATCTTTGCATGTATGCACCAACAGAGAGAGATCTAGAAGACAAAGTCAAGGAGAACTCCAAGAATAGAGAGCAAAAAGACAACAAAATTTAAAATGAGAGAAAATTCAAGACAATCCCAATGGTTCAGTATTTGCCAATAAAACTTTCCAAAAGAGAGCATATGGAAAATAAAGGAAAGAAATGATCAGCAAAATACCAGAGAAGAAGTTTTCCTTAGCTGAAAACAAGTGCATAAGTCTTAGGACTGAAACTGCCCTCCACGTGCCATGAAAAATCAATGAAAGCAGATTACATTCAGAGGCACGTCAAAGCTCTGAGGCTAAAGACACAAACCTAACAGTATTTCAGACATAAAAACCTAAATCAAACAAACTGAAAACAATAGATTACCTATA